TACAGCACCAGGGTAATTCCTATAAGATTAGGACTATCACTGGTTAGGGTACAGCACCAGGGTAATTCCTATAAGATTAGGACTATCACTGGTTAGGGTACAGCACCAGGGTCATTCCTATAAGATTAGGACTATCACTGGTTAGGGTACAGTATTAGGGCAATTCCTACAGGATGAAGACTATCACTGGTTAGGGTACAGTACTCGGGTAATTTCTACAAGATGAAGACTATCACTGATTAGGGTACAGCACCAGGGTAATTCCTACAAGATGACTACCACTGGTTAGGGTACAGCACCAGGGTAATTCCAACAAGATTAGGACTATCACTGGTTAGGGTACAGTACCAGGGTAATTATCATTGGTTAGGGTACAGTATTAGGGTAATTCCTACAAGATTAGGACTATCACTGGTTAGGGTACAGTACTAGGGTAATTCCTACAAGATGAAGACTATCACTGGTTAGGGTACTGTACCAGGGTAATTCCTACAAGATGAAGACTATCACTGGTTGGGTACAGTACTAGGGTAATTCCTACAAGATGAAGACTATCATTGGTTAGGGTACAGTACCAGGGTAATTCCTACAAGATTAGGACTATCACTGGTTAGGGTACAGTACCAGGGTAATTCCTACAAGATGAAGACTATCACTGGTTAGGGTACAGTACTAGGGTAATTCCTACAAGATGAAGACTATCACTGGTTAGGGTACAGTACCAGGGTAATTCCTACAAGATGAAGACTATCATTGGTTCGGGTACAGTACCAGGGTACTTTACTGATTTATAGGATTTCAATATAAATCCAACCATCATTGTAGAATAGACTTTAATCATATGATCATGCTAATGCTAAGGAAGTTTTATATATGTCCATTTACAAAAACATTTTAACTACACCAATTAACAAAGCCATTTTAACTACACCAATTAACAAAGCCATTTTAACTACACCAATTAACAAAGCCATTTTAACTACACCAATCAACAAAGCCATTTTAACTACACCAATCAACAAAGCCATTTTAACTACACCAATTAACAAAGCCATTTTAACTACACCAATCAACAAAGCCATTTTAACTACACCAATTAACAAAGGCATTTTAACTACACCAATTAACAAAGCCATTTTAACTACACCAATCAACAAAGCCATTTTAACTACACCAATCAACAAAGCCATTTTAACTATGGAAATATGAAATTTAAAAGAAATTGAGAGCAGTATCCTAAACGGATTACATTAAATGTTTTCTAAGAAGCTGAGTTGATAACTAAGAAACTAGCTTGTGACTAACAAAGATTGCTTGAACGTATAACGAACGAAAGTTTAACACACTAACGACTTCTGACACGACAAGTGTATGTTTCTTATTAAATGAATTTACTAGGTTTCCTTATATACTATTTTAAGCTTGAGAATAATTTACAGAATTTTTTTTTCACACATTCCATATTTATGTTTCACGACCGAATCTTTTTAAAATACAATTTTTTTAAAATAATTCAGAACGTTTTGTAACTAATGATTATATGGCTGGTGGTTTCCACTTCAATAATGCACGATTCGCAGAGAAAACAAAATTTGAACTTTGTTTTTGGATTAGGGTTATTAACCTTTGTGACACGTCCTCTGAAACTTTTGACCCTGAATCAATCATAGCAAGCCAGATTCCCCATTAAAAAAAATTATTCTGGTTTAATTATTCATTACCTATGTTTGTCAGAGCTTTGGAAACATATAATCCACGGGAGGGATTTTACGAAAAAAAGTTTTAAAACAACGATGTTTTTTTTTTTCATAGAGAGAATGAACGTAATATATACGATTTAGTTACACCTCTCACCAGATGGCGCAACCACCGTTATGCTGTCAAAATTCTTAAAATATAAAGGTTCTTCCGTTGTCAGAGTTTACTCTTGGAACGTTTGATGGCTTTCGCCCAGAATATTGCCCAGGTTCTACTACCTCGTGTAAAGGTACCACGGATGGGGATACCTTGTGGCGGGCTCCTTCGGAAACGGTAGTATCCAAGTTCGATAAGTAAGTGGCCGATGTACGTGACAAGCCTCGTCCACGCATTAATCTGTGGTTCGGATTTCGCCGTAAGACGGCGCGCAGGTAAGCATTTCGCAAAGCAGTCTGTACCTAAGAAAGAGAGGGGAAAAAATTCAAAACCATATTCATTCAAAGTTATTAACGTGACATTACAATATTTATCACAGGGAAATTATACTTTATCATTTAATAATCACTTCGAAATAATTGTAGAAAATTGATTAATATACATTTCTTTTTTTTTTATATAAAATCGTGAATGTTTTTGAAGAAGTGACTTGGTGATAAAACACTAGATAAATAAATGTACAATGGAAAGTATAGCATCTGGCAATCGTAAAGCAGAGAATATAATGAACCAACGGTTTATTTTACTTTGTACATAATAAGATGATCATACGGTTCATTAAGAGAGGAACATAATATCATCTTTTAATGAACCGTATGGAGAGGAACATCTCACTTTGTACATAATATCATCTTAATATGGTTCATTAACAGAGGAACATCTTACTTTGTACATAATAAGATGATCATACGGTTCATTAAGAGAGGAACATCTCACTTTGTACATAATAAGATGATAATATGGTTCATTAAGAGAGGAACATCTCACTTTGTACATAATAAGATGATCATACGGTTCATTAAGAGAGGAACATCTTACTTTGTACATAATAAGATGATAATATGGTTCATTAAGAGAGGAACATCTCACTTTGAACATAATAAGATGATCATACGATTCATTAAGAGAGGAACATCTCACTTTGAACATAATAAGATGATAATATGGTTCATTAAGAGAGGAACATCTCACTTTGAACATAATAAGATGATCATACGATTCATTAAGAGAGGAACATCTCACTTTGAACATAATAAGATGATGACACGGTTCATTAAGAGAGGAACATCTCACTTTGAACATAATAAGATGATAATATGGTTCATTAAGAAAGG